AATAAATAAATAAATAAATAAATAAATAAATAAATAAATAAATAAATAAATAAATAAATAAATAAATAAATAAATAAATAAATAAATAAATCCTTTCAGGTGTGCTATATGTGGACTAACATTCAAAACTCTTGCCTTGGTAGTTTGATCTGTGTTAGTTATGATGGATTTTCTTATCATTTTCTTCTTGCCTATTTCGTAGAATATTCCACTTTAAAGAAAATTTGCAAGTTGTATCTGAGATTTATTTATTTAGAATAAATAACATACCCACCCATCTCTCAATCAAAAATTAAGGCAACATATATAATAGAAAAACAACAAAACCTGGAGCCATGTCAACCTTTTAACATACAATTATTCCATCTTATTCCAGCACTTGGGGAAAAAGCCAGGTCTTCAAAGCTTTAAGAAAGACTAGGAGGGTAGAGGCTGCCAAATTTTAAGGGGCAGAGTATTTTATAGGGCTAAGGTTTTCACAGAAAAGACATGCTTTCTAGTTCCTATCAGTTAGCAATATTTAAGGGAAGAGACTAGGAGCATGCCCACTCTATTTGATCTGATAGGTCAGATAGGTGTCCTTAGGGAAAGGCAATCCTGCAGATAGCTTGGCCATGTGCTATATACAGGACTTTAAAGATGATGACCTACACCTTGAATTGCACCCAGAAAGAAACTGGAAGCCAGCGTAGACTTCTCCTGAGGTAGGAGTGGGCTGTTATATGCAAAATATCTTCCAGTTTTATTTTATCTTTGTCAAATTTCACTTTAATAAAGAATTTAACAATATTCAAACAGTCTATAAGCCATTTTGTTCAAGCTAAGCAGCAAGGACAAAATTAACTTTTGTGTGATATAGATTCTAGCTATCATTTCTTCCCTCTTCACTAGTTACATTTTTGAGAGTCAACCTAATATTTATAGCACATGCAGGATGAGAAAATTGCAGTTTCTTTGTAAATGTATGCTTGTATATAGCAAGCACTGAAAGTGTCTCACTGCTGTGTGACCAAAAGGATTATTAAGACCATGATGTTGGCAAATACGTACTGCAAGAGTCTGTTTTAATATTAAGATTGCACAGTTTTTGTCTTTTAGCACCTACAAATTTGCTTTGTTCAGGAACAGCCTAATACATTCAGATGACTGAAGCTAAATCCAAGCTCATAGAATGTTCATTTGTAAAGGTGCATTTAGTTTCATCATCCTGTTTTATGCAGGAATTTAAAGCATCCCTGTAAGATGACTGAAAAGCTCATCAGAACATTGAGCTGTAAGGGGAATTATTTAATTTATATAATCACCTGTCTCACATATGTGACTACACAGGTTACAATAAAATAGATGAACATAAATAAAATACATAATATAAAATAAAAACACATGGCAGCTGAGCTTTATAAAATAACTCTGAACAAAGTCAAGAGATGGGCTCTGTGGCACACCTGGACAAGGAGGGCCAGGGCTAATCTACTCTCAAGAGGAATGTTGTTAAACATGGTGGGCATCACTGCAGAAAGAATCCTCATTTTAAGCCTTGCCAGCTGACATTCCTCAGCCAATGGCACCAAGAACATGCCCTGCCTGCTGGACCAGGTAAAAACAATTGGAGAGAGATGGTCTCATAGTTGCCCAGTCTCTAGCCCTAAAGGACTTTAAAATACTACCAGCATTTGAAATTGCCCCCAGCAGAAGGCCATTGCAGTTCATGGCGTGGTGGTGTCACATATTGCTATTAACTGCTTGCACTGCTGCATTCTGCACCAGCTGAAGCTCCCAAACACTCTTTAAGGTAGCCCCATGTACAGCATGTTGCAATTGTTCAATCTAGAGGTCAAGAAGGCTTGAATGACCATTGGCAGGGCCCCAGTCCAGAAAAGGCCATAACTGATGTATAACTCAAACTGTGGAAACATCAGTTATTTATTTTCAGAAGGCTAGCAGACTGGAACCAGGAGTGAAATTCAGCAGGTTCTGACAGGTTCTGGAGAACCAGTAGCGGAAATTTTGAGTAGTTTGGAGAACTGGCAAATGTCAACTCTGGCTGGCCCCAGAGTGG